TAGAAATAAATGGTAGGCATGAAAGAAGTGTTTAAAGTGACTTTGATCTGTATGGGATTGAAATGTTTGAATAATTATATATTTGATGAAGGAGAACCTTTCATTTATTTAGTATGTTTATTTTAATAAGTTGTTTATCCCACTCTGTTAATGTAGTTTGTTTTAATAATAGTTTTGAAGCTATAAGTAGATTTTGAGTGTTAAGGAAATTATGTTGAAGCTGTTGATGGCTTATTGGTTAGTGTGGTTGCTTCTCATTGTACAAAACTTAATTGTGGACTTTCTTTGCAATGTACTAGTAACTGTTGTGTGATAGGTGAGTTATGAGGTGGAGAAGACAGAATACATTGTAGGCATGGCAATGTGCTAATGAGATGGGTGAATGGTTGCAAGGCTGGGATGCTGCTGGTAGGGTTTAGGGGCTGTCCATGAATTATCTAATGATAATTTTGAGCATTTTGAATACTGCCTCTGTGTAAAAAATTATAGCACTGTGTGAAAAGAATTTGTATTTATTGTACGAGTTGAAAATGAAAAATAGTAATGAAAGTAGAATTACTTGATGCTTACCGCATGTAATGGAGTAGTTGATTAGAAGCTATGCAGATGGTGTTGTTGATTATGCAGGAGTGAGTCTTTAAATTGATTTTAAAATCCATTTTGTCTGTATATCAGTTTTGAATATATTGTTTGTAATGTTATAGATTTGAAAAAGTTAAAAATAATAACTTGAGTCTATTTTGAAAACAAGTTAGTTTATATTTTGATGTTTTAGTAAATGAGTGAAGAAAGGAATCATGTCAGGAAATGTTTTAAAAGGAAAAAAAACCAAAAACAAAACCCATGAATGTGTATATGAATCTTAATTAATATGCTGTAGTGTAAAGTAGTAGTGTAATGTAGTGTGAGGCACCTCCTCTTGAGTTGAGCATTATGTAATTTATGGATGATCCCTTTGTTTGTTGTGCCAAAGAACATGAGGTAATGTTTGTGAGTGCTTATTGTATTGGCTTGTGAAAGAAAAATGTTTGACAATAATTGTGAAGTGGCAGTATGTATACATTTGAATTAGCTTTTAGAAACACTTTAATCAACATGGATATTATGTTTCTGAAATAATGTTTAACTAGTATCATAGATTGTGACCTATATCATTCCTATGGTATGTGGAAATGATGTTTAAAATTTCCTTTCCATTTTTAATTGAGGTATTGCTGGACATAAAGTAATGAATGTTAGTACAGTGTTTGAGTTTAATTTTTTATATTGTGCAACAAATATTTGAAAAAAATGTAATAATGGTAGTATGTTATTGGGAGGGAGGGTTTTTATTGTTTTGCAAATTTGTGTGTGTTTTTTGAAGGAAAAGGTAAATGAAATTTGTGGATGTTTTGTTAGAATGGGTTGCAATGTAAATTATTGCATTTGTTTATCAGTCTTTGTAGTGAAATGTTAAATGTTTTTATAGAATGTATTTGAGTGTTCATATAGTAGAAAGAGGTTGATGTAGTTTGTTAATTTTTCTTTTATATAGATTATAAAATCTTTGTGTGAAGGATAAACTTTTAGATAATTTTAAAGTAATGAGAAAAAATGAAACCAAAGATACAATGCACTTGTGTAAGGTGCATATTTATGTCACCCACCTTATTTCACAAGACGTGTGCACAATTTGTTTATTTTTTTTTTAATTTGAAGTATTCTTTTCCTGATGTTTATGAAGGGAAGTTTATCCAGGAAATGAAAAAGTTAATTTGAGTTGTGTATTGAATTTATTTTAGAAATTGTAGGTGATAAATGCATATTTTAAAATGTATCTTTGAATGTGCTATAAAAATCCTATCCTTCATTGTTAGTATTATTGTTAAAGTGTAAAGTTATTTATAAAAAGTGTAGAATGTAGAATAAGAATATGAAATGGGGTATTAGAGAAGTGAGTCGAAGGTGAGGTGTTGAAAAGTGGCAGCCAATGAGTTTGTGATTACAGGAAAAAGTGATAATATTAATTTTGAATGTAGGTGTTTGTGGGAGTGAATAAATATTGTTAAAAGTAGTAAATGTTAGAAAATGAATTTTTTTTTAGGTTTTGAACATGTATTTGTGAGTAATAAAAATGAATATGAAGTTTGGTTGTGATTTTTTTTATAAATGTAGTATTCTTTTGACCATTTTTTGTTAAATAAAATTGATAAAAAATGTTTAATAATAGTAGTGTGAAGCAGAAGTTAATTTTGAAAATTTGTTAATTTATGAACAACATTATAGTAATTGATTTTGTTATGAATTTGATATTAGAAAGACTATTATAAGACTAAGAATAGTCATTATTCTTTTTATTTAATTTTTTTAATACTATTTTATGTTGTGAAATTTTCAATTTTTTAACTTTCATGTAGTTAATGTAGAGAGAATGGAAACTTAAATTGAATATTCTGAAGGGAGAGAATTCATCCTAAAAGTAGAGTATTAATGTAGGTAGTGTGGGGTGGAGTCTGTTAAAAATGTAGGAAGCACATGCATGATGTAAAAGTCCTTGCTGGAATTTTCCTTTCCTTTGCAAATGTCTGTTGAAAGGTGGACATTTGTTTACACTTTTTTACGAAGTGTTTTTTTTTATGTCCCTGAAGTGATTTACTGCATTTTACATTTTAATGTGTAAATGTTATTTTCTGCATTGAAGAGTTTGGTTTTTTGCAGGGCTGAGGATTGGTTTGAATATTTTTACAAGTAATGTAGCTATAAATGTTGATACTTTGTCATAGTTTGTAAATGAAAATGTGGGAATTGTGAACTGAATTTTTGAAAGCAGTAAAAAGTAAATATTAATTTTTGTTCTCCAATGTTTGATAGTAAATGTTATATTGTGAATGATACTTGATGTAGCTTTTGGGGATTCTATTTTGATTATGAAATGAAATAGAAATTTGTGTAATAGGGAAATTAATATTTTTCAGTAATAGTGTGATTAGCCTTGCTGGGCTTGATTTCAAAAGTCTCTTTTCTACATAATTGTTGTAAATGTAAGAAAATTCAGTGTAGTATTTGTGTAAATTGCCATTCTTGATTATATGTGTGTGCTTTTGAGTTATTTAAAATAATTAGCTTTAGTTGATTTGCAGTGGGATATAATTTGTACCTTTTTATTATTATTCATACCTGTGTAAATTTAAATTTCTTACCTAGCAGTTAGAAAGGAAATGACTAATTTATAAATTTATAGAAATAGAATGTTGCAAGGAAATTTTTTGTTGTAGTGTTCAGTTTTATTATATTTTGTTCATGGTTTTGTAAACCTTTATTAGTGTATGGCTTATGAAAATTATGTACATGTTTTTTTTCTGTGCATTAATTTTTTTGTTTGAAGTGTTTCTGTTAAGTGTGTGCAGTGTATGCCTTCAGGATTGTCAAAATGTCCTTATTTAGTTTTTAATGTTTCTGTTGCCCTTATAATGAAGGAGTCCTTTGTACCTTAATTTTGTGAACCTTTGCATTGTTATGTTGTGTTCCATAGTACTGTTTCTATTCCATTCCAGACCTTTGTTTTTCATTGACCTTAAGTTGTAAGTTGTCTCCTCATTTTCTACAATGTAAATTGAATTTCCCTTTCATATATTGTGATAGTTGTGTAAAATTAGTGTGTACTCCCTTAGCTTACCTGGCCTGTCCTTACAAATGATCCTTTGTTAACATTGAACCTTGACTCCTTGTACCTTTTACCTCTGTCAACCATTTCCATTTTCCTTAATACCTCTTTCTTGTAGTTGACATTTCCTCTATTCCTCTATCTTTGCTTGAATGTTCTCCTTTTTCCTTGTCTCCCTCTCCTTGTTTAATATTTAGAAATAAAATAATAAAAGTAGATGTAAACTTTTTGCCTTGTCTTGTTGCAGATGCAGATCCTGTCGGAGGAGTTGGTGTGGAGGTGCAGCAGGAGTGCCCCCTGCCCCGGCCAGGGGTGGAGGCACCTAGTAGTCCGTGAGAGCGTGGAGCGTCGGAGCAAAGGAGCGAAAGGAGCACACAGGCACACAGCACCAGCCCGGCAGGGCAGGGCGGAGACCCCTGCTCCAGTCTTGAATAAAGTTTCAGTTGCACACTTGCCTTTCATTTCAACCCTACCACTACTTCCCATTAGCATAAGTTAGTTAGAAAGGGAAGGGACATCCAAGAACTTGAGGAAACTCTCAAGCTCATACAAGGACTGGTCGAAAGAAATGCTGGAAGAAACTTAAACTTAAAAACTTGCAAGACAACTTCGCACATATTGAAGTCTGAAGAAAAAACTAAGGCAACTCAGAAGAGTTTTCTAACATACATTCAACTCTGGAAGTGGCATTGAAAGTTGGGTTATCTACCCACAACTTATGAAACTTTAGTGAATTTAATTTCCTAAAGCTTTCACATTTACTTAGGTTGAATTATTTCCTAACATTTCAAAACATAAATTCTTAAAAGTAAAGCAAACTCAAAGGAACATGCAAGGGAACTTCAACTCATATCCACCATTTTTGCATTCATCACTTAGCTAAATAGCAAAATTGGAAAATTGCAAATTTTACCTTCAAGTTCTTTGGACACAACTAGAACGATGAAGAAACAGCTAGGAGAGAACTCTGAAAACTCTAACATTCATCTCAGGAAGTGACATTGAATGAAACTTGGTTACAAACCTACAACTTAAGGAAACCTTAAATAAAACTTTAGGGGAAAAAACTTTGGTAAATAATAACATTTAACTACAGGTTACAGATTACACTTAAGTTCTGTTTACAAACTTAGAAGATGAGATCATTAAACCTTAGTTCTTACAAAAAAGTCATGCAAACTCCAGGAAACGTGCAAGGGAACTTGAGCTTCAAACATTTTCGTTTTAGCTAAAAAGCAACTGCATATTTTTCAATGGTATAAAAAACCAAGCTTAACATAAACCTAACTAACATAACTTTATTCATAAATAAGAGGATGAAAAGGATGAAAAGAAAGGAATAAATAAGCCTTAATAGAAGCAATTAAAATCAAAAAAAATTTTATTATATATTCATTCACTTTTTTACACTTCACTTCATTTTCATATTTACAATTACAATTAGTACAAAATAAATGTTTCATTTCCATTCCACTTACTTCTCCATCTTCTCCGACACAACCTGTCAACATACAAAAAAAAACCATCAATCCATTGAAACAAATTACATAGGACAACACAATTCCTTCACTACAATCTACCACATACAAAATTCAAATGTACTTACTACTATATCTATAACATTTTCTACATTCCTAAAATATATTTGCATTAAAATGTACAAACTCAAAGTTCACCTCCAAAGCAAAGCAATAGTCTAGTCTGTCATACTAAAAGCCCATACCAAACAAAACCAAACAAAATTTCTCATCCACAAAGTGAACACGCACCCCACCATAATAAAAAAAAATACACAAAACAACACATCTTCTGGAACAAAACAAAAGAAAATGGAAAACACTAAAACTACAAATTAAAGCATCATAAGCAGCAATAGGTTTACAATCCAAATAAGAATACAAAGTAGCTCCAATCTTGCAACAATGATATACAAGAACTAATCATGTGTAAGCAAAAACAAAAACATACAAATCATACCTATAAACTGAAACTAATACACGTTAAATACAATATACAAAAATTGCATGTAAAGGTAATAGTCAAATCAAAGAAAATTAAAAGACTAACAAATTCATTAAAACAAAAGAAATATATAACTGGACCCCAAACAATACCTTTCAAATTACTCACAAAATGAAACATGTTAAAAACAAATAATTCAAACAAAAAAAAAATGAAAACTTATAATAGATTCAAGACAAGGATACACAAAGTAATAAGGAAACACAAACAACAAATAACACATACAAATGACAGACATTCAAATGGAACAACAAAAAGGAATGGAACACCAATAATCAGACAATGTAGTGAAATATGCAGAAGAAATCCTCCTAAACCAGTTGTTACAAGCCATAAATTAAAAATGAACACAACACAACAAAAAATGAAACTGATCAACATACATAACATGGGATCAAAAAATATATGCATAAATTATTCAGCAATTACCATGCAAACCACACACTATTACATCGATGCAGGTATACTGAAAAACACAACTTCATTAACAATATGGCTTTAACTAAAGAACAATCACAATTGATGCAATCTTCATACAACAAATAATTAACACAAATCAACAAAACATAACAACATTCTTATCATTTTTTTTTATTATAAAAACCCATATTACAAGGTGGACTGCAACCAACTATGGGACATACTGAAACAAGATGGAGTGGAGTGGATGGAGTCACTACAACAAACAATCCAGTCTCCCACCTCTAATTCAAGGAAAAAGGAAACAGAAGGGGGAATGACACAACTACAACAAAAAATACTATATTATATGCTCATGATCACCTGCTACTACCGACAACTCAAAACAAAGTCACAAAAGCAGCGTGCGCACACACACACACACACACACACACACACACACTTCACACATTACCATGCTAACAGATCACTTTAAACACACTAATGTTGCAATCTGTTTAACTGAACACTGGCTTCCAGAGGATCAAATACAAATGACACAAATACCAGGTTTCTACTTCTGTCGTAGGGTCAAACACACCAATATCAATCATACACATGGAAGCAGACTCACACTTAGAATGTCGAATTGTAGAAATTCAAAAGCTCAACATTTTCCTCCTACGCATTTATCGAGCACCTCATGAAAATCTTCAAATATTCTTCAAGCACTTACTAATCTTCTATAAATTAACAATGCAAGCTCGTTACTCCATTATAATCTGTGGCGATATAAACATTAACTTCCTACCTACAGCTAATATTAATCATCAAAGAGACAGAATCAAACTAATAAACTTAGTACGCTCCTATAATCTAGATGCAGTAATTGACACACGAACCACGCAGTCAAACAACTCCCAAAAACAATCAACCACATCCTTTTAGACAAAATAAAACACACATACACAATCACCACAAATAATACGGGGCTCACTGACCACAATGCTCAAATACTCACTCTTAAAACAAATTCAACCTCACCAAAAGCAAACCTAATAAACAAGACCAGGAAGTATAATGAAATAAAACCTCAACAATCTCATCTCATTGTTAACTAATGAATCATGGTCAGGGGTATATGAAATATCTGCTATCAACCTCAAGTTTGACACTTTCTTTAATACAATCAAACACTATTTCAACATCTCACATCCACTACAGTATCACAAAACAAACCACACACAACAACAAAGCATGGATAATAAAATGTATGAAAATTTCATGTCAAAGACAAACATAGCTTTATTAACTCACAAAACAAAACTCCTGTAATCCTCAATTAGTCACCTACTATAATCTATATTCAGCCATACTCAAAAAGGTTATAATAAAGGCCAGACAACTGTCAAATGATGAGTATATAAAAAAATCAAAAAATTAAACAAAAGCTATGTGGAATCTTGTAAAAAATAATATAAAAAAAAATAACAAAACACAAAATATTCAACTAGTCCATGAACACTAACAATAACAAACACCAATTAAACAGCCACTATATTCAACAAACACTTCTCTGAAATTGCTGGTAAACTAAAAACAACAAATCCAAACACTACACTTCTACAACCATCACTCACTTTCTAGCATGGACATAAAACAATAGTACCTTTAAAAACTCATTTTCCAGCATGTACATCACAGAAACAACAGAAAAGGAAATACTTCAAATTATAAACAAAATGCAAAAATAGCAATCCGCTGGGATAGTTATTTTTCAGACTTCGTAATAAAAAAGATTGCTTCATATATCATCAAACCACTAACATACTTATACAACCAATCACTAACTCATCGCTCCTTCCCAAACATATTTAAAACTGCTGTTATTAAACCTACACACAAAAAGGGTTAAAAGACACGAGGTAATGAATTATAGGACAATCTCTCTCTTGTCAAGTTTTTCAAAAATATTACAAAAACTGTTCTGTGAAAGATAACAAAACTACTTCATACACCGACTCAGAACATGGATTCAGGGAAAATCATTCAACTGAAACTGCTCTCTTCACCTTTGTAAATGAAATTCTATGGCATTAGAGGAAAAAGAAATTCCTGTTGGTCTCTTTCTCGACCTGTCAATAGCCTTTCACACAATACATCACACCATTCTATTGTCAAAATTACAATCTTACGGAATACGAGGAATTGCCTACAATTGGATAAAATAATACCTATCAGACAGAAAACAAATAGTAGTATTACCTTACCAAAAAGACAACCAAATAAATAACAATCAGTCCATCCCAAGGCATCTGAAATATAGGGTCCCACAAGGATCCACACTAGCCCCAATTTTATTTCTCATATTTGTAAATGACATGCCATCAATAACGGGAAGCAACAAAACCAAACTTTTTGCTGATGACACTAATATAATATTCAAACAAAGAACAAGCAAAGCTTTGCAGCACAAACACAATTCAGCCATCGACAACCTACTTCAATGGATCCACCATAACAAATTAATCCTAAACCGAGACAAAACAATCACAATACCCTTCCACAACTCCCAACTAACACAACAATACTCACAAAATTCAACATCAGAAGGAAACAGCATCACACAAGAACAGAAAACAAAATTCCTCACAATCACCATACAATCCAACCTCAAATGGAACTCACCCCTCAAAGATAATAATTCAAAATTAAGCTAACTTAATTATGCTCTTAAAATAATAATAAGAAGAAAAAGAAACAGCACCATTTATACAGCAGAAACAGTGTACTTTACAAATGTGCACTACATTCTCAAATGCAGGATAATAATATGGGGACAAGCACCACAGGCTAAACAAACATTCAAAACACACCAAAATCATTTGAACAATAACAAATACAAAAAGGACAGAGTCCTGCACAGCTCATTTCAAAAACTAAACATACTTCCACTGCCTTGCATTGTTATTTATGAAGTTATCATGTTTGTAAAGAAAATTCTAGTAAACAATGACACACTTTGCAAATTTCACTCCACCTTACACCCCTATAACACAAAGCAAGCATGTAACCTTCATCAACCTATGTGTACTAGCACATTATACCAAAGGAGTACATTCTCTTCATATTTGTACCAAGAGTACAATTCTTCAACAAATTACAAATACATCTGAGAAACACAAAAGGCTTCTACAACTTCAAGAAAAAACTCAAACACTTCCTTGGGAAAGAACTTTTTTATAGCATTCAGAAATACCTCTGACTATCACATGCCATGTGATTTCAGACAGTGCAGTAGGACTAGGTGTAGAAATAGAGAAAAATCTGGCAATAACATGCCTCCTCCTCCCCATTGCAAAATATATATCCCATATCAAGGAATATGCTAATACTGTTCAATCATATGTATCTGTTATCATTACTATTACTATTACTATTACTGTAACTGTCACTATTACTATTACTATTATTATTATTATTATTATTATTATTATTATTATTATTATTATTATTATTATCATCATCATTATCATTATCATTATCATTATCATTATTATCACCACAGAAACACAAGTTTGCCACAATTACACCAATTTTTCAGAATATTATTGGTTCATAAATTCCTTCCTTTTCTGAAAATTTTCACTCATATGTCCATTAACAAACTGTCTTCAAAAATAACAGTGATATAAAGGTGATCAAAATACACAATGTGCCTCATCATACTTGTGACATTCCTAAAACAACTATGATTCAATTTCCTCAAACTTCAACTTCTCACAATAACATCCTATGTACCCTCAGCAGGCAAGCAATACAACTAACACCAAAAATGACTGAAGTATGACTGTCACAAATGTACAATAAAAAAAGAATAAAAAAAGGTGCTCTAGGCCGTTTACAATTAAGCCACTCAACAAGCAACCTGAGATATTGACTTTTGTTTCTGCTAGACATTGACAAGCAACTGGTATAGTATAACACTGCAGAAATCATGCAATGTAATCATGACCACTCTGCCCCCCTGGCCCGACAACATTCCTATAAACAATGAAATTAAGATTGCAAACCATCATAACCTTATCATATACAGATCAGTCTACTTTGAAGAGTCTTCACATGTTATC